AAATTCAATTCACAAAAATTCAAAAATAAAAGTGACAAATAAATTAAGTAAAATGCCGTTCAACTAGAGTTCTATTTTTAATTAATGTAATTTGATTTAAATATTATTGGTGCGGTCGACAAGTTTCGAAAATTGTTTGTGAGATTTTTATTATCATTTAAAGATACCACATCCAGTGTTGTGTTGATTTTTAAGTTGTTTCCAATGTAAGTCTAACACCCGGTTTCTGAAAAGCATGTCAAATATTGAATTAGGTAACAAACTGTCATAATCAACAATTTGTTAAGCAACTGTGGGTTTCTGAAAAGATATTTACCGAAAAATTAATGAATCTACTGTTAAGACAGGATTTATTTATTAGTCCGGCCACCCTAGCTAAAACCAGTCACTTTCATTCGATCATTCATGTTTTGTTTCTGTCTAACGCATAGCTTTGTCTCTACCTTTTGACGACTTTTAAGTGACTTTTATTTAGAAGTCAGAAAAATATAAGCAATTGTGTGTACCGAAAACATTAAAATTTATTTTCATTTGTAAAGTTTTCACTTAATATGTCACGAAAAAACTATACGAAGCGAGAAAAGAGGGAGCTTTTAACAATAGTGGATAAGTAAGTACCTAATAGGTACAAATCAGTTGTTCAAATCAAGCTTTCTAATCTATACAAAGAAACTGATCTGCTTTTGGCATTTAAAATTTGAAAATATATTGATAATATATATTTCAATGTAGGTACAAAGTAATAATAGAAAATAAGTCTACCAATGCAGTGACGGTGGAAAAAAATAGAAGAATTTAGAAATAAAAATTAAAGAATTGGAATTTACTTCTAAAGCAAATAAAAAGTAAAATAATTATAGTGTAAATCTGATATAAACTACAATATATGATGTTTGTTTGTTTGAACGCGTTAACATCAGGAACTGCTGAACTGAATTGAAATATTCTTTTTATGTTGGGTTAGCCATAATTCTAGGAAGGCTTTAGTGTACAATAATTGTTCGTTTTAAGTTCCAGGTGTGTCAGTTTTCCCATCAGTTGATGGAAAACAGATTTTGAAATCCTGTAGCGATCCTTAAATTCTTCATCATTGTAATGAATTACAGGATTCATTCGTTTCCGGAACTGGCGAGTTGGTGCCAGATCTTCCTCGTCACTAGATAGGGATATATCGTCAGCAGATAAATCTGACAACATTTTTTACTGCCACTACAACAATCCTCTGACCAAAATATCAGTAAAATTTCTTTTGACAGTCTGTTAATTGATCAATTTTCACCAATTACTTATTAAAACACAACAAAACGTTAACATGCAGTTAACGTACAAAAAAGCTTTCCGGAAACCAAAAACTACCGCAATCGGCCATTAATTCGAGATTTGACATTTGCAACAACAAATCATTGACGAACTGTCACTTTGCTCATTGAGAAACCCAATGTGCATTTAAATAGAGATTAACAACTTGTTACGTAATTTTTTCGATGGCATGCGTTTCAGAAACCGGGTGAGAATTTTAGAAATACATTTTAGTGCCCATAAAAGATAAAAAAATATACTTACGGTATCTTGGCCATTGTCAGATATGAGGATAGAACTTTTCCATGCAGATAGCAAAATTCTATCAGCGGGTTGGACAGTTTTCTAAACTAGGTATTTGTAGTGTAAACTATAGGTTCGCTGCATTACTTTACATCACTATCGCTCTTCGGCTTATATCTTATACGTACCCAAGCATATAAACCACCATGATGGAAAACAGCTGTTTTCAAAGTGTCGCCTATTCAGAGGTGCTAGGCTCGAATCGACCAGAGGTTTGTATGATAAATTCGAGCATTTGTACCTAAGTCATAGCTGTGTATATACTCACAATTCTATAAATATATTCTTCCTGTTACTTTTGTACTCCATAACACAACCTGGTTAGGTTAATTGGTGTGATAATGTAATAAAGCATGACATTAAGTAAGTTAGAGTTGGTCAGATAGCACAATGGTTATGGTGCCAGAATACCAGCGCTGTTGTCACTCGCATAGTAACGTGTGGCAACAGCATCATGCAGAGGCAGGGTCCTGATTAACCATTAATTTACTTTTATAGTTTTAAGTTAGTTTTTAATTTTGTTTTTTATGTTAATATTTATGTGTTCTTTCATTGTTGTTGTAATACCCGTGTAACAAATGGTTAATAAAAAAAATCTCTCTCTCTTTCTCTCTCTCATGGTGGCCCACCTTACTAGAACAATAACTATGTCTATCTATGTTGAGTACCTACACTAAGTAAGTGCAGTTTGCAGAACGGATTTTTTTATCTTAAAAGGGTGGTAACAAGCCTAATGGCTGCGGCCAAAGCCTTTATGATATAGATGCTTGCGATAGAATAAATATCACTTTCGCCATCGCCTTCCCTGACCCAGGCCCCTACCACGTGGAGGACATGACACTCGTTCTTTTCTTAAAAAAAAGTAAGTGTACTATGATTTTTCAAATAATAATTTTCTTTAACTTAATTAAAGAATTTATTAAAAGTAAGTATGCTATTCATACGGATATGTGTTACTTCATTTACAATAGTAACCAACTCTGCTTTATCTCGTTTTTTCCACTATTTGTTGACGGAGCTCGATAAAGATAAAGATATTATGTAGGTACTGGCCGACCGACAGTTTTATCGCGAAATGTATTCGCTTCGGTAAGTTAGATGTGTTAGGCGGTGCACTGTACCTGTAGGCGAGGCGATTTCATTTTAAATCATATACTATATTTAGGTACATTTATGAATAAATTAATTATACAATTAGTTACGTCACAACAATATCAAACTAAAAACTTAACAACTTACTCAAACTAAACTCATTAAAAACTAACCCTAAAGTATTTATATACATACATATTCACAAGAAGAATATGTCATCCAAAATTCCAATTTGGGGCATGGAACCCAGATCACTGGCAGCATTACCTCGCTGAATGACTAAACTGATTCTCTGCGCGAAATAGCTGCCAGCCCTCTGATCACCCGAAGACAGCATCAGACATCCTCCATAAGCCGCTTCATGTCAGCCGACCACGACCCTGACGTCTCGAAAGCTAACGCCGCAAACTCATAACCTTCAGTTATAGAAGAGTTGAGAAACTGAGCACGGTCGGCTGCGGCCCCAACTTTACAACTAATGCTAGGTACCTATTACATATTACAAACTAAAAAATGTGTTGTGTATCACTAGCAGTCTTAAGAATGTTAGGGCATAGTGGATTTCCCACTCCAATCATAGCGCGTGCCTGGGAAGGAACCTCCACCTTACAAAAGATAGAGTAATGACACTACATTACTTTTGGTGACGTAGTGTTTTCGTTGGTGAGTAATGTTCTAGGGTTCCACACCACACAGGATAGGGGATGGCATCAGGGTGGCCAACTATAGTGGTGTCCTGTGAGGCGGGTCGTTGCGTTCCCTAAAAAATGGTTGAGAGAAGCGATGGCTGGTTCATGCGTCTTTCTCGTGAACGGGTGCTGCCAGCGGAGATGAGTCCTCTCTTGCTACATTGGGTACTATTAATCGTTGTACTTAACTTTAATCGTTCATTTTTTTATGCCTAAACACTAGGACGCGGCATACCTAAGCATTCCTAAACTTTGTTAAACCAGTTTTTTATATTTTTTTATTTTATAGTCATAATTTTTATATTATTTACATTTGTAATGGAAAGTGACTTCATAAGTTACCTCATATTGAAGTCATTTTTCAATTTGACGATTCTGTATATAATACAGGGAGAAAAAAACAGCTCTTGCTGAGTTTCTTGCCGGTTCTTCTAGGTACTACTTAGGTCTTCCACCGTAGATTTGCCAACCGATGGCGTAACTTTTCGACATTCACAAGTGCTTGTAACAACCTAGACTGAATAAACGATATTGATTTTGGTACGCTAGGTTAACTTCTGTTATGATATGAACATTTGAGTTACTCACCTTTTCTATTAAAGAAACTATCACGTGAGATAATCAATAAATTTTCCGAAAATAGGTACTATTGTATTTCGTCATGTCATGACGTCATGATGGCGTAAGTATTCTGAAGATGTAGGTACTTCATAAATCCAAATCTGTGCCGATTTTAGATCGAAGTTTTGGTGGTTTATAGAAATACAAATACAGTGTGTTGTTTCTAGTTATATTTTCTTTAGATTTAAACATCAAGCAGTTACATGCTCAAAAAATTAAAATTATAAATACGAATACAGTCAAACACCGCCCCTGAAACAATACACTTCATTTTTGGGCAGTCATGCATGAGTTAATTCAATGAACACAGCCCCTAAAAAATTATACTCCTTTTTTAGGCAGTTAAGCATTTTATTTTGTCATGAAAATAATTAAAATTTGACGACCTCCGTGGCCGAGTGGTGTGTACGCCGGGTTTCATGGTGTCACCGATTCGAGAGGTCCCGGTTTCGAATCCCTGTGAGGGCAGATGTTTGTGTGATAAATACGAGCATTTGTACTCTAGTCATGGATGTTTAATATGTATTTCTATATAAATATTCATATATATGTATTCTATCCGTTACCCTAGTATCCCATAACACAAGCCTTACAGTTCTTACTTTGGGGCTAGGCTATTTGGAATGTACGTGTTGTAAAAAATATGTTTTATATTATTAATTAGTATTTGTAACTATAAACGACATTTGTAGCTGAGCGAGCATAGGTATATATTTACATAAAAAAAAACAAGAAATGTTTTTTTTTGTGAGACATACTCACTAATGACATATTTACCTACCTTACCTATCACAAAGTTTGGTGTTTTGAAAATCTACAATTTAGAGAGACTAAGTTAACTTCACAAACATTGTGTGTTCGTTCATTAATCAAAAGTTTGGCGCAGTGCCTCTCCGTCCTCCTCTCAGCGTCCACCCACCCGCTGCCCTTTCAATCACTAACATACGTAGATATGGTAGGTATAACATATTCCTGCACATTGGGTCTTTAATCAGACTCTTTTATAACTTGGCAACACTGGCTTTGGAAAGTCACATAATTGACAAATGGCTGTGCTTCTATGCTATCTGTCACTTTCCGTGAGACGGGGGAATAAACAGAATAAACAGCGTAACTACAATAAAAATAGAACTTGAACTTTAATTTATATTATGGATTCTATTTGTAGATTATGTTGTTCCACAAACTTTGTTAACAATTACTTATTTGACGAAGAAAACGCACTGAATCTGAAAATGGAACTATTTTTCCCAATCAAGGTATAAAGTGTTTTGTTGGTTAATTCCTTTCGGTTTGTTTTTTAACCTTTTTATTATTTTAATGTTTATTATTTGCAGGTGACAAAAGGGGATCAATTGCCTCAGAAAGTTTGCAACCGATGTAGTTGTAAAGTGAATGACATCTACCAGTTTTGTAATATAGCTATTGAAGCACAAGATAGGTTAGTTCCCACACTTAATTATTAATTCCACGGCTTTAGTGACTTCTATAATTAATTATACATTTGCTTGTTCACATTCAATGCTTTCTGCTTATTTTACTTTCAAGGGATAATGTAGTGAAACAGAATAGTTTATGAGATACATGTCTCCCACTCTTTATTTAATGTGGAAAGAACATACAGTGTTCTGCTAAATTTATTATGCGGTATATCACAAAGAGGGGGCATATTTGTAGATGATACGCCAACACATCATATGTAAAAATTTTTTCTGGGCATCTTATACTCAACCCATAGCAAAAATAGTGTTATTGAGGTATAATTATAGTTTTAACCATTTGTCTCTATCCATGTCTGTACTGAATTAACAATTTTATTTGATTTGATTTGTATGGCCATGGACTGATGAAGTATTAACCATCAGGGCTGGTATCAGCACGAAGTTAATACTTCACAAAGGTGTAAATCTTTGTAATGGTTACAAGAATGTAATTTGTACCTAATGACTTTCCAGGTTGCGAGGCATGCTGTTAAATATTAGTACAAATTTAAATGACTCTATTGATCTAACTGTTACTAAACGTGAAAACTTACTACCAATAATTCCTGGAATGAGCACAACTGACCAAGGAACACAGACTGAAATGACAATAAGTAAAGAAGAAGTAGACTTCGAGAGTCCAAAGGTGGAACCAAAATCACGCTCTCCGTCACCAATAAAAAGGGAAGAGTGCTCATTTGAATCTGAACATCATGATCTGCCCGACAGTATTCTCTCTGATGACAGTGATGATATGTCACTTATTGCATTAAAGAAAAGGAAAACAAGTAGGAAACCAAGTACGAACGGTGATGCCCCCGTAAAAAGAGGAAGAAAGAAAAAAGGCAAACTAAAAGAACTAATTATGAATGCATTGCCTGATACTAATAATGTTAGTTTACTAGAAAAACCAGATGATTCCATAAAAACAGATGTTAAAGAAGAGACCGATTTCCTAGAGGCTCTACAAATTCGTAAAACTACTGTGAAAGTGAAAAAGACTGTAGTAGTGAAAAAAGAGTTGAATGAAACTGACTCATTCCAATGTTGCATTTGTTTACTACAGTGTTATTCACGCAGCGCAACCTTACAGCATTATAGGTGAGTTGGTATTTTTGCAGGTCAGGAACAAATGACACAAAAGTCATTGTAAATCAACAGCAATTCATCCTTTTAAATTTACATTATGTGTCTTAGTATTGATGGTCAGTGAAAGGGCATGTATATTTCACTGATTAGAAATAGAACCCAGGACCTCAGATATGGCTATATTAATTACAATTACAGTATTCTTGGTACTAATAATAATTGGCAAGAATAAAATATTTTCTATTCTAAAGAAAATTTTACTAGAAAAAAATTCATTTGGTTCAGGCAGCACACGGGACTCAAACCTGCACCTGGGTGGATGCACCAACCACTTTTTCTTTACATGTATAAATCTGGCAGAAATATAACTCAAAAAAAAAGATGTTTGTAATAGTTTTTTAATGTTAGAGTGGCAATTGAGCGAATCATCAAATATAAATACACCATAAATTGTTTAATTTTAAAAATTTATTTATGTAGTTTTATATTTACAGATCCTGGGTTTAAATCTTATTATAACTTTCTAAACTGTATTGGGAGGGTAAGCACAATACTATCCGGCCTAAACTCCAGAATACGTCTATGTTTCGTAATTTGGACACCATTAGTGTAGTGTTTATGGGTATTTGGAAAAATAATGTGTTGTTGGAGTAAGATTCGTCATCGTAGGCCGTCACTAGTTTTTGACAGTCTCAGAAATGGAGACCTTCTGCCTCAATCAATGCCTCAGTGGTCCATGACCATGGCTGGTTTAACCTGGTTGAAAGTGCGCGTTTTTACCCGTTAAATATTATATCGATCTAGCTCGATGTCATAAGTGGTAAGCACGTTTGGCTGCGATAGTTGTTGTCAAGCAGCTTTCGCATTGGTTGGTCATTGGATGGGTGCCAAAAATTTACTATCTTGAGCTCCTCTGTGCTCCGGAAGGCACTTCAAGCCGTTGGACCTGGCTGCATCTGCAGTTGTTAACACTCACCAAAAGTATCTGTGTGGTGGGTCATGGCCTGCACTCCTTATTCAATCCATAGAGAAGGGCTGTGCCCTAGCAGTGGGGACATTACTATATTGAAAGTAGAAAAGTATAATAGTGTTTCAGACATATCTATCGACCCACTTAGTGTTATAAGTTTCAACGGCCCGTAGCAAAAGATATGCTCAAGAGCAATGAATCCAGGTTACTAAAAGAATCCTAAAAATGCTATATATCCATAGCTTTACGAAATAAATTCTAATTAATAGACAATTAAATACTCCTTAAATGAAGATATTAAAACTTCTTAGTTATTGTAAAATTATCATAAAAAAAAATTTGAAAAAGGGAGATTTTCGAAGATGGAACTATGAAATTACTGCATTTGCTTTTATTTCTAATCTGTCTTTTATCATTCATAAAAACCATGTCGATAGTGTTCAAAATTAATTATTTAAGCTGTAATCAAAGATTTCAATCGTTAGATATGCACTTACCATAGTTTGACCACTCTGAAACCTGACAGCACTCGAATAGGCTAAGTAGTCTATTATCATGGTATGTCTAATCAGTGTTCATCTGAACATAGTGTCAGTTTGACGTTGGTGAATAAAATACCGCAGGCATTTTAGCGAGAAAAGTGTATTAAAATACCGTCGTGTGCCTTCCGAAAGTCCACTAACAATTCGAGAAATACAAATAAAGCTAATGGTGTAATATTTTACTCGTAAGTTTTTAGATTTCATTTTTTATTAAATTTATTTTCTTTTCTTGTCATAAATATTGAAATCTGATCGGACAGCGCATGACAAAGAAAGAAGTCTTGGAAAATATTGCGGGATTTTTCTGGGAACCTTTAACTTAATTTCCGCAAGAAGGTCATGCGCAACAATATTGCCGTGAAGTAATTTGTGCAGAAATAAAATGTCCGCGGTTTTTCTACGCTTTTCTAAGGTATGAAGTTTAAAGTATTTGAGACGAGTGTGGTAATCCGCACGGTAAGGACACTTCCTGTCTTTGAAAGCAAGAAACCTCGTAAAATTACGTTGAATTCGCTCGATTCTATCAATGTGGACTCGATATTGCGGATTCCAGACTTGGGAACTGTATTCTAGTATACTTTGCACCAAACTCTTATACAAGCATAAAATTGTTGCGGTGTTATGGAAATTCTTACATAGGCGTTTCAAGAAACCCAACATTTTTAATGTCTTTGAAACAATAACGTTAATATGTTCAATGAATCCGAGCTTTTTGTCAATTACAATGCCCAGATCACGAGTCGAACCCACTTCGGTTAGCTGTGCAGAATTGATAGTATAGATAGAAGCGTTAATGTTTTTTGTCTTTCTGGTAAATTTTATAAATAGACATTTACTTGCGTTAAGAGTCATACCGTTGTCTACGCACCATTCCGATACCGAGTCTAGATCTTTTTGGAGTAAAAGTATATCTTCCTCGTTTTTAATCGGTCGATACAACTTTAAATCGTCGGCAAAAAGAGAGCAGCTGCTATACCGGATTTTATTAGGGATGTCGTTAATGAAAACGAGAACCAGAATTGGTCCCAAGATCGAACCCTGAGGGACTCCCGACGAGGTGAGGAATGGTTTCGATTTGTAGCCGTTCACAACTACCCTTAACAACCGATGCTCTAAGTAAGAACGGAGCCATAGCAGTAGGGGTCCATGAATTCCGTAACGCTTCAGTTTCATAAGCAGTATATTGTGGTCAACCTTGTCAAACGCACTGCTAAAATCTGTATAAATGGAATCTATTTCTACGCCAGAGTCGATTGATTTCGTTAGTTCACTGACATACGAAACAAGATTGGTTGCTGTTGCTTTATTTTTACAGAATCCGTGCTGGTTTGCATGAATGATGTTTTTAAAATAGGAAGTTAAAAACGGGCAGATAATTTTTTAAATAACTTTGATATTGCATTCAGAATAGATATTGGGCGGTAGTTTTTAACGTTATTATTATCACCTTTTTTGAAGACTGGAATGATATTAGCCTCCTTAAGCAAATCCGGAAAAACACCGGTAGCAATGGATTTAGCTAATATGATTTTAAGTGGCAGGGCAATGTATTTAGCGGTACTTTTAAGAAATAGTGGCGGAATGCCGTCAGGACCTGCTCCTTTACTCTCGTCAATTTTGGATAAGATCTTAGTGATCATGCGTTCGGATATAGCAACATTACCGAGAGATAGCTGGGGATAGTCACCATTATTAACTAAATCACTGGGTATGGAATCTATAATATATAGACGTCTACGTATATCTGGGTATATAATATATAGACGTGTGCGTGTGTGAGAGTTGCTTATGTAGTTGAGTGGGATCATATTTTGTTTGATGCTAGTATGAGCGTACCGTATCTTCCTTTTTACCCGACTGCGCAATGCAAGAGTGCGAAGCGCGACGCGCAGACAGGTTATAGTGTTTAACAGTCTATATATGTATGTTTGTTCCTTTGTGGCACACTAGAGACCAAACGCCTGGACCGATTTTGATGATTCATACATCAATCGTTTCATCTCAATCATGGGAGTGCTACTAAAGATATGATAGTAATCAAAATTCAATATGGGCAAAATTAGGCGCCACATTGTGACGAAATAAAAATAATAAGTTGACAAAATATGTCGAGTGGGGTATCACTGTCTAGATAATCGAAAATCATGTTTAGGTTCCTAACACTATTTGTCATTTTATATGATTGTTTAGGATCTACACCGCTTTAAAGTTGTATATTGCTTTTAATTTCAATCTTACGTTTGTATGGATCTTTGTTACTCTTTCACCTAAAAAATACTGAATGGATTTTAATGAAACTTAACAGTAATATAGCTCATATATGATTATATCATATATATAATAATTTATGTAGTTATCGAGTGAATTGGCCAAAATATAACAATAAGTGTCACATAAGACAGAAAAATCTCCCATCTGCGAGCCATTTTGGCCTGCACTGCAAAAACAATAAAAGTTACATGAATGTAATGTAAAGTGAAAATGTATCTCTTAAATAGTTCTAAAAAAGCCCGTGACACCATATATCTATTTTTAATGTGTAAGCCATTACCGCTTAAATAGTGAATCAAAACTAAAATATTATTTGATATCTATTTCCAAAATGTACATTCAAATTATTTTTTATCAAGACAAATAATTTTATCGCTTTAGATATTTAAAGCTTATTAAATGATGAAAAATAAATTATCTTAATAGGTATTTATGATTATTGAATTTTAATGAAAAACTCAGAATTATACTGTTTTTAATTTTTTTTCATGATATTACTTAATGTTACAAAAAAGGTTTACTTAATATAATGACAAATAACCCATTTTTCGCTAGTAGGTACATACTTATTGGAATCCCTGTATTTATTAATCAGCTCGCGATAATATTGGTTTTGTAATTATAAACGATAATTCTGCAAAATTCAAAGTAAATATAGATTTTTATAGTTAAATCAGCCCTTTCATCACCCTACGCCTATAAGTATTGCGATGTTGTAGCTAAGAACCAAGTTCCCATCTACTTCTATAGGGGAATTCATTATAATCGATTTAGCTATTAGAGCACGGAAGCGCACCAAACAGACTTACTTTCGCATCTATAATATTATAGTATAGATAGTTAGGATAATAGTACCTAGTTGATGAAAAAGATTTAAAAATAAAGTAAGTAGGTAATAGGTTTATTTGATTATATTTGTAAAAGTGACTTAGCATTTGTGCTTAACAGCGGTACGTTATTCGGTATTTTTATTATACAAAAAAAAATATTTGGTAAATAATTGCCATGATTGCACTATTTGCAAATGCGATATAAACTTCATTGATTGGTATTATATATAGGGGGATTAAAAACATTTGAAGTTAACTTCTGACATCTACATATTGGGTTCCTGTGAATTATGTAGGTACATATATCAAATTATGAGACTAGGATATGACACTGCATTTGTGTATATCACAATCTTAGAGCCGGACATTGACATGATAATGCTGCCACTGCCAGTTTTAAATAGTCGACGAATAAAAGTAAATGAATTTTATATTTACTGCTAAACTAAATATTAAAAAGAACATAAACAAAAGATGACTTTTTGAATAAGTGCTAGTTTACTATGAAATTTACATACAGTTAGATATTTATGTAACAACTCGATTTAACTTCACACAGTTTTGCGAAAATTGAGGCCCATCTGTAGCCTTGACCCCGCTGGTAAAGTCTCTATATGTCTTAATAAATCAATCTTTTAGACCACCGCAAGGTACTAATAATTCCCGCTATATTAATTCCCTTACTGAAGTAACAAGGCTACGGTATATACCGTCTTAAAATACTAACTAAAAAGTGTGAAATAAAAAAAGTAAATTTAAAAAATTAAAACCCCGGCTGCTTAATTATACTTCAAATACTGAAAAGAAAAAAACAAGCCTAGTAGTCAATAATTCTGTTAATAAGGAACAAAGCTACTTTAACAGTCGGGACCTATTATTGAAAAATATTATGTATTCTCCCAGAGAGCACGTGGCGGCGGAGCGTGTGGAGCGGCCCCCGCCCCCGCCGCGTCCCGCCGGCACCGCGCCGCGCTGCGCTCGCTGCAACAAGGTATGCCGGCACCATGCTTATTGCGTGCCCCACGTGCCCCACCAGGACTCCGCCCCCGCCCCCGCCCCCGCCCCCGCCGCGCCCCGCCGCGCCCCGCCGGCACCGCGCCGCGCTGCGCTCGCTGCAACAAGGTATGCCGGCACCATGCTTATTGCGTGCCCCACGTGCCCCACCAGGACTCCGCCCCCGCCCCCGCCGGCACCGCGCCGCGCTGCGCTCGCTGCAACAAGGTATGCCGGCACCATGCTTATTGCGTGCCCCACGTGCCCCACCAGGACTCCGCCCCCGCCCCCGCCCCCGCCCCCGCCGCGCCCCGCCGCGCCCCGCCGGCACCGCGCCGCGCTGCGCTCGCTGCAACAAGGTATGCCGGCACCATGCTTATTGCGTGCCCCACGTGCCCCACCAGGACTCCGCCCCCGCCCCCGCCGGCACCGCGCCGCGCTGCGCTCGCTGCAACAAGGTATGCCGGCACCATGCTTATTGCGTGCCCCACGTGCCCCACCAGGACTCCGCCCCCGCCCCCGCCCCCGCCCCCGCCGCGCCCCGCCGCGCCCCGCCGGCACCGCGCCGCGCTGCGCTCGCTGCAACAAGGTATGCCGGCACCATGCTTATTGCGTGCCCCACGTGCCCCACCAGGACTCCGCCCCCGCCCCCGCCGGCACCGCGCCGCGCTGCGCTCGCTGCAACAAGGTATGCCGGCACCATGCTTATTGCGTGCCCCACGTGCCCCACCAGGACTCCGCCCCCGCCCCCGCCCCCGCCCCCGCCGCGCCCCGCCGCGCCCCGCCGGCACCGCGCCGCGCTGCGCTCGCTGCAACAAGGTATGCCGGCACCATGCTTATTGCGTGCCCCACGTGCCCCACCAGGACTCCGCCCCCGCCCCCGCCGGCACCGCGCCGCGCTGCGCTCGCTGCAACAAGGTATGCCGGCACCATGCTTATTGCGTGCCCCACGTGCCCCACCAGGACTCCGCCCCCGCCCCCGCCCCCGCCCCCGCCGCGCCCCGCCGCGCCCCGCCGGCACCGCGCCGCGCTGCGCTCGCTGCAACAAGGTATGCCGGCACCATGCTTATTGCGTGCCCCACGTGCCCCACCAGGACTCCGCCCCCGCCCCCGCCGGCACCGCGCCGCGCTGCGCTCGCTGCAACAAGGTATGCCGGCACCATGCTTATTGCGTGCCCCACGTGCCCCACCAGGACTCCGCCCCCGCCCCCGCCCCCGCCCCCGCCGCGCCCCGCCGCGCCCCGCCGGCACCGCGCCGCGCTGCGCTCGCTGCAACAAGGTATGCCGGCACCATGCTTATTGCGTGCCCCACGTGCCCCACCAGGACTCCGCCCCCGCCCCCGACGGCACCGCGCCGCGCTGCGCTCGCTGCAACAAGGTATGCCGGCACCATGCTTATTGCGTGCCCCACGTGCCCCACCAGGACTCCGCCCCCGCCCCCGCCCCCGCCCCCGCCCCCGCCCCCGCCCCCGCCCCCGCCGCGCCCCGCCGGCACCGCGCCGCGCTGCGCTCGCTGCAACAAGGTATGCCGGCACCATGCTTATTGCGTGCCCCACGTGCCCCACCAGGACTCCGCCCCCGCCCCCGCCGGCACCGCGCCGCGCTGCGCTCGCTGCAACAAGGTATGCCGGCACCATGCTTATTGCGTGCCCCACGTGCCCCACCAGGACTCCGCCCCCCGCCCCCGCCGGCACCGCGCCGCGCTGCGCTCGCTGCAACAAGGTATGCCGGCACCATGCTTATTGCGTGCCCCACGTGCCCCACCAGGACTCCGCCCCCGCCCCCGCCCCCGCCCCCGCCGCGCCCCGCCGGCACCGCGCCGCGCTGCGCTCGCTGCAACAAGGTATGCCGGCACCATGCTTATTGCGTGCCCCACGTGCCCCACCAGGACTCCGCCCCCGCCCCCGCCGGCACCGCGCCGCGCTGCGCTCGCTGCAACAAGGCCGGCACCATGCTTATTGGGCAAGTTGATGCAATCTATACCGATTATAGCAAGGCATTTGATCGGATTGATCACGTGTTACTGCTCAGAAAGCTACAATCAGCGGGTATACGTGGAAATCTTTTCCGGTGGTTAAGTTCTTATGTTGCCAATCGATGCCAAACGGTCGTTCTTAACGGTTTCTCTTCCCACTCACGTTTCTCGGCCATTCCATCTGGTGTACCACAGGGATCCATTTTGGGTCCTCTTCTATTTATTATATTTGTTAATGACATTAATATATGCTTCGAACACTCACAAATACTACTATTTGCAGATGACATGAAAATTTTCAGAAAGATTGGCTCAATTCACGATTGTGTACTTATGCAACAGGATCTCGTTAGGCTACAGGACTATTGTCTTGCAAATAAACTCGACCTTAATATAATCTAAATGTAATTGTATTACTTTCAGTAGATCTCAAAATATCCTCCACTTCAACTATAAAATTAATATACAGTCATTACAGCGTACAGATTACATAAAGGACCTGGGCGTAATCTTTGATTCGAAACTCCTTCTAGATAGGCACATTGATAATATAACATCAAAAGCCATGAAAATGTTAGGGTTTATCTTCAGATCAACCAAAGATTTTAAAATAGCAAAATCATTAAAAAAATTATATTGCTCTTTGGTAAGAAGTCACCTGGAATACGCATCCCAGGTCTGGAATCCTCACTATGATTGTTATATTAATCAATTAGAAAATATCCAAAAAAAGTTCCTGAAGTTTTTAAACTTCAAATTTGGGTTAAGTCCGGGTCCAAATTATATTGTTAACTGCCAACGACACCATCTTCTTCCATTAAGTAAGCGTAGAGAAGCTGCGGACTTAACATTTTTCCACAACTTAATTCTCGGCAAGATAGACAGCAATGAGCTGCTATCATTGGTTAAAATCCATGTACCATTCCGTACAGTTGCCAGACGCAATTATCTGCGATTCCATACTGATTTATGTTCCACAAATTATAGACAGAATTCCTACTTTAATAGAGTAAAACAAAATTTCAATAATAATTATTCAAGTGATGTGGACGTATTCCTGGCGAAACAAAATTATTTCAAAAAGATTGTGAATAGTAAATTTTTTAATAATAATAATAAAACCTAATTTAAATTACTTTATATTTCTATCACCATTTTCTCTGTGGGTATGGCTTTATGCTTAGTTTTTTGCTTCTGTGTTTTTATTTTTATATAGTTTTAAATTAATCTACGGCCTCGATTGGATTAAGTATATTTTATTTGAGTTGTATTTGTGAAAACTGTATAAGGCATATCAATGCTACATCATCTCGTTTTATCCTTAGTTTTAACATGCTGTTTGTTTTCCATGAATAAATAAAAAAAATGGTTGCCTGTAAAGTCGGTTTTACGGGCGAAGATTTTACGTGACAACGTCTTTTTCTCGGTAGAATATTTATTGATATGAATATAATTAAATTGCACAATAGGAACAAGGAATTGAATGAAAATAAGAATTGCACAAATTTTAACTATAGAAATATATTTTGTTTACTAAAACATTGTACATGTAAACTTAAACTTAACACGAGAGACTCATCGTAACGTTACCGAGCGTTACACTTTTTCATAAGTGACTCCCAGCCGCAACCTAATTTAAGACGTTGTCACGTCAATAAATAAATAAATGTTGATGATGACGTATTGTTCAGGCAGTAGAGGGCGGGAGTGAGGCGTGGGCGGGGCACTGGGCGCGGCACTGGGAGCGTGATGCCCGGCCGTATCGCTGCGCGCTCTGCGAGAAGGCATTCCGCGACCCGCACCAGATACTCAAGCACGGTGAGTATAATAACAGGAACAAGGAAAGAAATTAGTCTTATTTTCTATGAGGTCGCTACTTCGAACATGTTATGTACAATTCTCACATAACGGAATGAATATTACAATTTGCTGAAGGAAATTGAAACATTGGCAAAGTAGTTAAGTTTCTTATTTTCATGAGGAACCGACCGGCTTAGCAGAGTCCAAATGCAGTCGGCTTCATAGCTGTTTGAATAGGGTATTTGACAGTGTTAAAAATAAAGTGCCATGCCAATTGTTAGCATCTGTGTTTAGAATGAATATTGGCAGGGGTTTTTACTATTTTTACCAAAAAAATATTCATAATTTTACTAAAAACTAACGAAAAAGATAATAGTTCTCTTAGCGATTGTCACGTGACTCAAAACGCTTGGGATTGGCGGAGACTAAAATGACGTCACACGCAAGTAAACTTCCGGTTACAGTGACATTACATTGTATCGTTTGACGTTTTAATAACAGTCGTGTGACGTCACACACTAGTAAGACGCCATATTGCCCAGAGAACGTTATCGCGGCAACTTAAAAATGGAGTTTTTGATTTGGTTATTTTTACTGAAATACACATCAGAATGATGAATATCCACTTTTTACGGACTTCATAAACATTAATCAATAACGTGAGATCGATTTCTAAAACTTGTCAAATACCCTATTGCATGCAAATTAGGAACTTGACTACTTTTTGGATCAATGTAAATGATCAGTGGGAAAATGAATTTGGTAATATTTTCTTTAGATTTAAACATCTAGCAGTAGGTAAAGTAGAATCGTTTTTAACAGTTAGATTATGTTCTCATAATCTAACAGTAACTTAACATTGCTTCTAGATAAAAAGTATTATAATATTTGTACACGTATGAATTGAGATAATTCATACGTGTACCAAATTTCATAGAAATCCGTTCATCCGTTTTATGCGTGCTTGAGTAACAAATATTGATTATTATCCATCTCTTTTTTCTATATGAAAACTTTTCATTGCCTTGTAGTTGACTAAGGTGGCAACTTCGTATACATAATAATAACTATAAGTCTTCGCTAGAAATAAAACGATTAATACACATCTTATATTACAAAATAAACAAAAAAGAGCATCTAGGTTCCTACTTTAAAAAGCAATACACCCATTACAATAGGGTATTTGACAAGTTTTATAAATCGATCTCACGTTATTGAGTAATGTTTATGGAGTCCGTAAAAAGTGGATATTCATCATTCTGGTGTGTATTTCAGTAAAAATAACCAAATCAAAAACTCCATTTTCAAGTTGCCGCAAAAACGTTTTTCTGGACAATATGGCGTCTTACTAGTGTGTGACGTCACACGACTGTTATTAAAACGTCAAATGATACAATGTAATGTCACTTTAACCGGAGGTTTACTTGCGTGTGACGTCAGTTTAGGCTCCGCCAATCCCAAGCGTTTTGGGTCACGTGGACAATAGATAAGAAAACTATTATCTTTTTTGTTAGTTTTTAGTAATTTTTTTTTTTTTGTAAAAATAGTAAAATCCCCTGCCAATATTCATTCTAAACACAGATGCTAACAATTGGTACTTTATTTTTAATACTGTCAAATACTATTAGGCATCTTATTAAAACGATATGACACGATGTCGCAGTTGAGTTGCATGTTCGGTCTGCTATTGTGTGAGTCAAATTAGTATTGGTGATCACCTAACAAAAATTTACTATCTGAAGCTCGTCCGTGCAAAAGGCACGTTAAACTGTTGGTACCGCCTACTTCAGCAGCCGTTAGCATCTATAATCAGCACTGAAACCCACAAAGGCGTCTTGCCCGTTCCCCTATTTCATCCATAGGCCACAGCAGTGAGCACCGGGGACATTAACAATGCTTTATTTTACACACTAATAACTAAATTATAAATCAGCTTATTGACTACAGTGGTTGGATTCCAGCAGTGCGTTTGGCATGTTGGACCATAATATGTTACTCTACAAATTATAACGGTACCGCATTCATGGACCTGAGCTATTGTGATTTGAATCGCACTTAAATCATGTAAGGTTGTTAATTGTTATTTATGTTTACACGTCCATATCTTTCTTAGGAGTTTTTCAGGCTTCTTTCTTTGGCTCCATACTGGGTCTTGTATTTTTTTATGTTTCTGTTAATGACATAGAACCTGATATAGTCATTTAAAACCTATACTAACAGAAATTTTGACGTTGTATCAGCTGTGTAATACAGGAATGTTATCATACCAATAATATATTACTGCCTGGTGATTTAATATCAGGTGAAGTGGAATCATTTCTTGGATTTAAGTATGTAAATGAAATTTAATGTGGATTATTACACTCAACCAGTTTTTGTAACTTTTTTATGTGTCTTAAGACCATCTTAGCATTTAAAGATTTGGGGCGTTTTAATGTTAATACTAACTTGACAACCATTTTGTGACCACTATCACATCTGATTTTGTTATCGTATGGCGTCCAGTCCAGTCATGAATTATAAAGACGGATGGTGATTGAAAAGTCATTGTTCTTCTTCGTCGTTTCCTCGTGGCTTGGCCATGGGTGTGCTGTCCAGAAAGGTCATGGGTCTTGACCTTTCTGGACAGCACATTTCACCAGCGATTTCCAGGCCGTGCTGTGTTCAGTATGGAGGATGAACGCCTGCAGGTCGTTATTCATGGTTTACTCAACCATTTCTATCCAAAGGCATGGAGATCTGCCCCTACTCCATTTACCTTTCACGTTTTCCACGACCAGACGCTTCTCAAAATTATCTGGGCTTCCTAGCCACGAGTCTGAAGTAATTTAGGAGGCACTGCAAGCAGATTGAAGAGAGCTTGTCTTGATACCCAGGTTCAGAATTGATGCATTAGTTCTATGTGCGGTCCAAGGTATGCCTAGCAAATGCATCAAAACAAGCACTCGAATCTCTGAAAAGTCATTAGTCAGCCCATTAGGCGACAGGTTATCCATCAGTAAAACCTGTCTGTTAAGCTAGCATGGCAAAGTGAGCAGAATCGCTTAAAAAAAAGTGCATCAATTAGTGCTAATGTAGTGCCAAAACCTGAAATTTAATGCTCTCATAGTTTTGCGAAAAATTAGAACACTGCTAGCTTTTAATTAAGCTAGCAGTGTATTACCTGAAACGCCTATATTAACGCGGTATAGAACTAAAGCAATGCATAGGGAATTTAGGGCTTAATGAGTGCTGGCAGTATCTGATAAAAAATAAAATATTTTTTATCAATCAAAACTGCTAGTTTGACAGTCTGAGCAAGTGACCGGGTTGAATACATCACTCTAGATCGAAGATCTATGATCATCAACGGTTAATAATTTAGTGCTCAATGTGTGCTGGCAGTATGTGATAAAAAAGTTCGAAAAAAAAAACCAAAAATATTTTAGCAACGAAACTGCTAGTAGGGCAGTCGGAGCAAGTGACCGGGTTGAATACATCATTCTGGATCGAAGATCTATGATAATCAATGGTTAATAATTAAGCGCTTAATGAGTGCTGCCAGTATGTGATAAAAAATTAGGGATTTTAATTTTTTATCAATCGAAACTGCTAGTATGACAGTCTGAGCAAGTGACCTAGTTGAATACATCACTCTAGATCGAAGATCTAGACTCTAGATCTAGACTATATTAGCACTAATTGATGCCCTTTTTTTTAAGCGATTCTGCTCACTTTGCCATGCTAGCTTAACGGACATAAAACCCCGTGTAATGGACGCCTTGTTGCAGGAATGACACACAAAGCGGGCGAAGACGCGCAAGAAAAGCCGCTCAACAAGAGGTTCGTGTGCGACTTCTGCCCTGAGGGATTCGTTTATATGAGGTGAGAACTGCGTTACTTTTGATAAATTGGTTAGATACAAATAAATCAAGCTGTGTGTAGTTTTTATTTAACTTTAATTAAAAGGGATGACGCTGACTAATTTCCTTTGTCTGTCAGGTAGATTATCAAAAAGTATTGGACACGTATTTTTTTTACGTATTTAAAACATTACAGAGATATATTGACTTTAAATGTTACATGACGTCACGCCTTAGTACAATTTTTACTTAAAAGTGGTCCTTGTCATTTTTTGGTTTTTGGTTTTGGTGCGGTGTCCATTGTTTTCGATAATCCAACTGACGGACAAAATAGAATTTCGTTTTCTCTATTCGTGCGTCACCCATATTTATATCGTTGTTATCTGTATGAAGCGCTATTGTAGTTGTAAAACAGGGGTTCTTAACGAGGTCTCATTTATCAAAATTTCCATCCCGCCACGGATTATCACTTCCGATTAGCACCCATCTCCCCCCTAGGATTTGTAAATTAATCAGCGTTCTTTCTTCTATACTAATACTGGCTGTCCCAGCGAACTTCGTACCGCCATAAAAGAATAGGGGTTGGTGGTAGAAAGTTGAAAATTTAGGGTATAAAAACAAAAAAATTTGGCCAAAAAAAAAATTAAGGGTGGACCACCCTTAACATTTAGGGGGATGAAAAATAGATGTTGTCTGATTCTCAGACCTACTGAATATGCATATAAAATTTCACGAAAATCGGTCGAGCCGTTTCGGAGTAGTTCAATTACGTACACTGTGACACGAGAAATTTATATATTAGACTAGCTGACCCAGCGAACTTCGTACCGCCCTAAAAAAATAGGGGTTGTCCAGCGGACAAAATTGTGAATCTAAACCATTCTCAGATCCCCTTGAACACACACAAAAAAATTCATCAAAATCGGTCCATTCGTTTAAGAGAAGTTCAGTGACATACACACTCACAGAAGAATTATATATATAAAGATTATAAAGAGGAAAGATTTTGATAGTTTGTTTGTATTGAATAGGCTCCGAAACTACTGACCGATTCGAAAAATTCTTTAACAGTGAAGTATTGCTTCAAGCTATTCTCGATTGAATTACAGTGTAAACTCTATATAACGATACTAAAGGGGCTGTACATTTTATGGCATTATAGAGTGTTGTCGTTAAATGGAAAGAAGAAATATTATGAATTATGAAATGAAAAAGTTTATTTCAAGCTAGTAGACATAAAAAAAATATCTTATTTGAACGTTAATGCGTATATTCTGTTATTTTTGTTTGTTGTCTTTTGCTGCACCAGTAATTTTGTTGTATTATATTTTTTTTTAGTCATGGCCAAACAACAGTCTACACGCGCAATCCCGATTTATAAACAAAAGGAACGAATTTCTTAGAAAGTTTGGTTTGCATGATGCCGACAGTCGAGTTTATTACGGGCTAGGATAATAAAGCGACAAAAAAAACGTACACAGCTGCGCGATTTTCACAAAATTTGGCAACTTATTACTTCTAAAGAAAATTTTACTAGAAAAAAATCCACGCGGACCAGGCAGCGGACGGGACTCGGGCTTTTTTTCTAGTAAACTTTTTTTTAGATTTAAATATCTAGCAGTTAAATGCTTAAAATAAAATAAAAAAATATGGGTGCGTGTACTTAAGTACGCGCGTGAGAAGTTATACTTCTTTTTGGAATTATTAAAAAATAGTTTTTAATTGCATGCAGATAATTAATTACAATAAGATAATAAAAGGATTGGAAAAGGATAGTCTACGCAGTCAATAAAGTTCAGTTTTAATTTGAAAAATTTAATAAATAATCAAAATATTCAATTTAAATCACTACTGAATAAAATTTATTAGCACATATAAATTTCGCATTTGTATAACATTATAATACGTGTTAAGAATATAGAAACTAGAAACATGTGGATAAATATTATAAATATGAAAACAGTGATCAGAGGCGACGAGCGTCCCAACATGTGCGACTAAGAGATCCTATTACTATTTTGTTGGAAGCTTTTTTTCGAGATTTACGAGTAATGTGCGGTTTAGCGGCCGACTTCATGTTACTTTTCTGTTACAGTGTTGCGCGCGCATCTTAAAATTTCACTCTCATCATTTTTTCATATCGCGCCCGCGGCTAACTTCATTATGTTACTTTTGTGTTACAGTGATGCGCGCGCATCTTAAAATTTCACTCTCATAATTTTTTCATAACGCGGCTAAAGAAGTATAACTTCAAAAAAAATTAACTATAATTGCTATTTCTTCTTTCAAATGTTTAATACTTAAAAAAGTATTCGTTTGACATTGTGGGTTACCTACAATGCGAAGGATGGCGCTGCCTTGCAGCTTAAGGCTAGGAAAATTTGGACGCGGCTAATAGGGCCGCGGTAGCATAACGGTCGGTGCATTCGCCCGGATTGCGAAGGGGGCGGGTTCGAGTCCCGTCCGTCGCTTGGTCCGCGTGGATTTTTTTCTAGTAACTTTTCTTTTAGCAGTTAAATGCTTAAAATAAAATAAAAACATAACTCATTACTTAATCGTTTTCGTTATCGAGTGTGGGTGTAATGCTATATGGAGTGTATCACCGTATGGAAAACTAATCAAAACAACCGAAGGCGAGTGATTTGGACGCTTTAGGGAGTTTGTCGTTGAATCGAGTGAGGTTACATGGAGTTTACATGGTATATGACCTGGGCAGGTATTTGCTATCTCACCGCGCGCGAGCTCACCCCGAGGTGGCGGCGCGGCCGCTGAGCCTGCGGTGCGGGGAGTGCGCGCGGGTGTTCGCGCACCTCAACTCGCTGCGGAGGCACCTGCGGGCGCACTCCGGGGAGAGGAACCATCTGTGCAGCGTCTGCGGGAAGGCGCTCTCCAGCCGGGAGCATCTCAAGTTCCATCTGCGGATACACTCCGGGTACAAGCCTAACGTCTGCAAGTGAGTATTGTATGAGTGTTCTCCCACCTCAACTCGCTGCGGAGGCACCTGCGGGCGCACTCCGGGGAGAGGAACCATCTGTGCAGCGTCTGCGGGAAGGCGCTCTCCAGCCGGGAGCATCTCAAGTTCCATCTGCGGATACACTCCGGGTACAAGCCTAACGTCTGCAAGTGAGTATTGTATCACTAGCGGCAAACGTCCGAAGCGAAACCACTAACTAATAAACTTGCGCATGACACGTTTTTGAATGTAAAATTGCTCCTCCGCCCGCTCCCTGTCCACGGTTGTTGCTCAATATTTTTTCCGTATACTCTTATATCGGTAACGTTATTTATTTGATTGATTAATTTTTCACCCCACACTATATTTGCGTACTTAAATCTCTTAATCCCGTAAACGTAGACTCGCTATATTTATACTGTTCAATCCGCACTTTAGTTTTGAATCAGTAACGAAGAAGTCCTAATACACACTATATACTTATTTATGCTCGAAAGAACGTTCATTTTTATTGAATAAATAGAAATAAGGTTGAAAAGAATTATCATTTTATAATTTTGATTAAATTTATCATTTTATCAACCTTATGTCTACTTTTTCAATTTGTTATGTATCAAAATAACTAATGCTTTTCGGAAATTTTTCGAAATTCTAGTCTATTGACGATCTTTCGTGCAATATAAAACTTGACACTGGCACGGTTTAAAAGCTATCTTACAATAACATAAAGCTGAGTATGATGATTTGTGCGATAAGTTACTTATCGACTTTAGCATTCCGCATGGTAGTGTTCTGAGGCCAATTTTCTTTGTATTCTTTATAAACAATCTCTTATTTTCCGTGAAGTCTCCGAATTTTGAAGTGTTTTGTCATGCGGACGGAAGGTTTCTATTCGCAAAGCGGACTAGCAAATGGTTGTACCCTACCTGATATTAAGTGGAAGTAGAGTTCAGTCGCAAAGATAGTTAGTGCAGCAGTTATCAACTACCAATCCTCATCTTGACGGCCTGTAAAAACTTCTTCAGGCCTCCTTTAAACGACAGAAACGTATTCAGTGAGGCTTTTTAAGGAACTTAAGACACCAGTTGGCTCTACTGTAGTATGAGGTCTTTCATATTATATTTCTTTGAATAGATAATGACGACATGATTGGATCTTTCGGCACTATGTAGTTATCTGGCGCACGCCATTTCAGAAAATGATGACACATCAATATGCATCATTTTGGTAAACTGCAAGTGTTATCAGTTGATATTTTACATTATCGTTATTTAATATATAATTTATTCAAAGGCATTTTTTGCTTTAGTCACTGGTAAAAATCATTCGAAAGTCCAAAAAAAATTGGTACGTGTACTTATGCAGGCGCGTGAGAAGTTATCCTTCTTTAGCATCGTTTAAAATTAGTTTTTAATTGCATGCAAATAATTAATTACAATAAATTAATAAAAAGTCTGGAAAAGGACACAGTCAATAAAGTTCAGTTTTAATTTGAAAAAATAAATAAATAATCAAAATATTCAATTAAAATCGCTACTGAATGAACATATGTGATTTGCACTTGTATGAAACTCAAACACGTATTCCGAATATACAAACTAGAAACATGTGGATAAATATTATAAATATGAATACCTATAACTGTTACTTTATTACAATAATAACATAAAAGTAACATTGAAAAATAAAGATGTGGTTTTTGGTTCTACTACACCAATGGTCAGATATGGCGCTGTAGTCTCCTGAATCGCGCTTTGGTTCCGTTGTTCCAGATTAATAAATACTTTTGATAGGCCTTCACAATGCAGTCGTTAGCACCTACTAAATAGAGATTCTATTTCTATTTTGTTGGTAGATTTTCTTAATGTGCGGTAAACACAAAAGTAACAGCATGAAGTTGGTCGCTAAAGCTTCATGCTGTTAATTTTTTGTGTTACAGTGATGCGCGCGCATCTTAAAATTTCACTCTCATCATTTTTTCATAACGCGCCTAAAGAAGTATAACTTCAAAAAGTTTATGTTGTTTCGGACTTTTTTAAGATGATATCTTAAAGTATTCTCATTTTTAGGACATGCGGTAAAGGTTTCGTGAAGAAGTGCAATCTAACACTCCACGAGCGCGTGCACTCCGGCGAGAAGCCGCACGTTTGTTCCCACTGCGGGAAGGCATTCAGTCAGCGATCCACGCTCGTTATACATGAGAGGTGACTATTCAATCATCATCTGTCTATTAATGCGAGAAGCCGCACGTTTGTTCCCACTGCGGGAAGGCATTCAGTCAGCGGTCCACGCTCGTTATACATGAGAGGTGACTATTCAATCATCATCTGTCTATTAATGCGAGAAGCCGCACGTTTGTTCCCACTGCGGGAAGGCATTCAGTCAGCGATCCACGCTCGTTATACATGAGAGGTGACTATTCAATCATCATCTGTCTATTAATGCGAGAAGCCGCACGTTTGTTCCCACTGCGGGAAGGCATTCAGTCAGCGGTCCACGCTCGTTATACATGAGAGGTGACTATTCAATCATCATCTGTCTATTAATGCGAGAAGCCGCACGTTTGTTCCCACTGCGGGAAGGCATTCAGTCAGCGATCCACGCTCGTTATACATGAGAGGTGACTATTCAATCATCATCTGTCTATTAATGCGAGAAGCCGCACGTTTGTTCCCACTGCGGGAAGGCATTCAGTCAGCGGTCCACGCTCGTTATACATGAGAGGTGACTATTCAATCATCATCTGTCTATTAATGCGAGAAGCCGCACGTTTGTTCCCACTGCGGGAAGGCATTCAGTCAGCGGTCCACGCTCGTTATACATGAGAGGTGACTATTCAATCATCATCTGTCTATTAATGCGAGAAGCCGCACGTTTGTTCCCACTGCGGGAAGGCATTCAGTCAGCGATCCACGCTCGTTATACATGAGAGGTGACTATTCAATCATCATCTGTCTATTAATGCGAGAAGCCGCACGTTTGTTCCCACTGCGGGAAGGCATTCAGTCAGCGGTCCACGCTCGTTATACATGAGAGGTGACTATTCAATCATCATCTGTCTATTAATGCGAGAAGCCGCACGTTTGTTCCCACTGCGGGAAGGCATTCAGTCAGCGGTCCACGCTCGTTATACATGAGAGGTGACTATTCAATCATCATCACCCTATTAATGTCCCCCCTGCTGGGGCACCTTCCCTATGGATGGAATAGGAAGATTGGGCCATGACCCCCCACGCGGGCCCAGTGCGGATTGGCGGATGCTAACGACTGCAGATGCAGCCGGGACTAACGGCTTGGCGTGCCTTCCGAGGCACGGAGGAACTCGAGATAGTAAATTTTTGGTGACCCATCAGATGACCGACCAATGCTAAAGTTGCTTAACTTTAACGATCGCAGCGCTAACCAAGTGGTTAGCGCGTTCGGCGTCATCGAGCTCCTCGACAATTCAATATAAATGATTTTTCAAAGGCAGACTTAATTTAAGGTAGTAATATAGCTTTAAGTGTGTACTAACATTATGGATGATCAATAATTATCTGAAATAAATATTTAATAATAATTACCTAATACTTAAGAATTCTCTGCCAGTCTACCATTGGGAAAAGTAAAAGACGCAAAGGCGGCACAAGCGAATGGATAATGAACTACATAAATTATTATAATACATATACTATACAGCACACATACATACACACATTAATATATACAATATAATATACATAATCGAGAAGTCAATATACTCGTACATACACAGACACATACAAATTAACACAGACCCCAAAATAAATATAGTAAGGCTTGTGTTATGGGATACTAGGGTAATGGGTGGAAATAGTTATTTATGATATATATATGACTAGCAAACCAGTGAACCAAATGTTCACAAAACCTGATTTAAAAAAAAAATGTATTTAATTAATTGAGAACTTCGGAGATTTTGTGTGGTTTCGTTTGAAATTCGTGATTTCTCGAAAACTGGAAGTGCTACGTTACTCAAATCCGGTTTGTAGTCTTATCAGACTATTCTTAACTAATAACTTAAATATTCTCTTTATCTATCTCTTATGGTTTGGCCGCTGAAACAGCACCACAGACGGACGGACGGACTTGTCTAATAGATAAGAGATACAAGTACGGTAAGTTTGTTATTACAATCGAGTACACGAATGTAAGTCCGAGACGCCAAAGTCGAGGGCTTACCATAGTCACGAGTTTGTAATACAACATCTTTCAACACATTTGCGAGAAAACAGTGCCTGTATCTTCCAATCCCCTGTTATCACACATTAATCCCCACTATCACCCACCAATTCCCTATTATCACCCACCAATCCTCACTATCACCCACCAATCATTTAATCACGCTCGAATCCCTTTACATCCTTGAATCCCTTTTATGCCCTAAAATCCCCTTTTCACACACAATGTTTGGCTGTGTTTGTGCATTTTAAATGTGGTTTTGTATAATAGTCGGTAGGTCCACCTGATGTAGTTGTTGGTATTGTGACCTTAGATTAAAACAAAAAGGGTAGATACTGTACGCTCATACTTGCATCAAACAAAAACTGATTCCACGGCAGCGCGAACGGGACGGCGAGATCCGCGTCACTGCATTACCGACCCGACCGAAACAGCACGTTAAGTTTCAACGGCAGCGCTAACGAGACGGCGAGATCCGCGTCACTGCATTACCGACCCGACCGAAACAGCACGTTAAGTTTCAACGGCAGCGCGAACGAGACGGCGAGATCCGCGTCACTGCATTACCGACCCGACCGAAACAGCACGTTAAGTTTCAACGGCAGCGCTAACGAGACGGCGAGATCCGCGTCACTGCATTACCGACCCGACCGAAACAGCACGTTAAGTTTCAACGGCAGCGCTAACGAGACGGCGAGATCCGCGTCACTGCATTACCGACCCGACCGAAACAGCACGTTAAGTTTCAACAGCAGCGCGAACGAGACGGCGAGATCCGCGTCACTGCATTACCAACCCGACCGAAACAGCACGTTAAGTTTCAACGGCAGCGCTAACGAGACGGCGAGATCCGCGTCACTGCATTACCGACCCGACCGAAACAGCACGTTAAGTTTCAACAGCAGCGCTAACGAGACGGCGAGATCCGCGTCACTGCATTACCGACCCGACCGAAACAGCACGTTAAGTTTCAACAGCAGCGCGAACGAGACGGCGAGATCCGCGTCACTGCATTACCGACCCGACCGAAACAGCACGTTAAGTTTCAACAGCAGCGCGAACGAGACGGCGAGATCCGCGTCACTGCACTACCGACCAATCACGCGACCAGTACTCGACGTCACTACCGAATAAGATTCAATTTTTATGAAGAAATATATTTTATAGTACTTACGAATGAAAAGTGATGCCGCGGGTTTTATTTTTAGTTCTTGAGCAATTTAAGCACTTTTTAAAAACACACTTAGGGATTGTTTTATCATATAAACACAAAATATTAGCAATATTTCTTTTTGGCGTTCACATGTACATCGTTTGCATGTCAAGTTGTGAGTAAAGCGATTAGGGTCGTGGACCACAATCGGTGCGGATCACTTTTGTGAGGCTAGTGCCGTATCTACCCTCTTTGTTTTATTCTAAGACTGTGACCCACCGCAGGTACCACAGCGGGTCGCGGCCGTACTCCTGCGCCTTGTGCGGTCGCGGGTTCGTGGCCAAGGGCCTCCTGTCTATGCATCTCAAAACCACCTGCATTTAGCCGCCCGGTGAGTATCATCATGATCAGTATTAATTTTACCGCTGAAATGAAGTTATACTTTATTCAAATTGACTCATAGAAAGCTCTTTTGAAACGTCCAATAATTTTGTCTACCACTCTTTCGGACATCTTTTAGCTGATAAGGAGAATGGGTGCAAAAAAATTATCGGCGTTAACGGAAGTAGCGACATTTATATAAAATCTAGTCACAACCGTATCGGTGTCGTTAATTAGATACATTAATTATGTGCTATACACAGTTGTATTTTTAATAAGAAGATTTTGCTTACTTCAATGAGTGATGTGTTCTTTATTCCCAGATATTTCGATCATTTGAGTGATCTTGGACTCGTTAATATCCTTTTCAACACATTTGCTAAAAAAACATTTTACCGAGATTGTTTATATTGTTCGGAAGTTCAAAATAACGGTCCATACAACGGAGCGTGTATGGACCGTCATTTTACACCATACATGGCGCCGTGCGTGTCCTTTACGGTTTTCTTTTTAAAAATTTCGATTGAACCTCCTTGGAAGCCTCCTTATTTAATAAAGTCCTTTCTCTGACTTATTTAAATACTAAAAAGAAAGAGACGAAAGATGTAGTTCTTATTTTCACCACCCACTACGCCGTTTCGAAATTTGTCCCCCCTTACCCTAGTGTGACGTCCTATAATATATATATACTAGCTGACCCAGCGAACTTCGTACCGCCATAAAAATAGGGGCAGGTGGTAGAAAAGTAAAAAAGAATTAAAAATTAATTAAAAAAACATTGTCCAGCGGACAAAATTGTGAATCTAAACCATTCTCAGATCCCGTTGAACACACACAAAAAATTTCATCAAAATCGGTCCAGTCGTTTAAGAGAAGTTCAGTGACATACACACTCACAGAAGAATTATATATATAAAGATATATATGAGTGATGCGTGCACTGCTCCATTCCCCTAAGCATTATGCACCGCATAATGTTAGGTCATTTAAGAAAACAAGTTTTATCATGTGTGCTCCGGTCCGTGCACACTAATATTTTTGTAGTAAAATTTTATTCAGATTAAATTTCAATATCTAAAATAATATGTTATATGAATAAAAATAAGCTCCCACAACAAGTATATTTGACAATCTTGTATATTTACCTGGTGATCTGTAATTTCGTATTTTAGACACCAGCTCCTCACATTTTCACTGTGAAATAAAAGTTGCTTATTGTATTTATCCATTATCTATGATCTGAGGAGAATAAAGTTTCTATTATTATAATTAATTATCACAATTTTGCAAATTTTTAAATGTACGTTTTAATTTTCAGCATGTTTGAAGCCCTCGTTTCGCTCGCACCAGCAGTGAGTATACTTTTTAATACGTTACCAACTATTTTGATATGTTCAAATATTTGTTAGTTACGTTTTTGCGATCTTTTTATTGAAATGAAAAATGATCCTACTGTCCAAAAGTAATGATTGGATATAAGAAATCTAATCAAATCAAATAAAAAACTTATAATGTATTACCAATACCTTTGCAAAACAATAAATAAGTTTCATTTTATTACCATAAGGTACAAGGGACATGTTTTTATTCAGTATTTTTTAAGTCTTAATCAAAAAGTAAGTGTTAATAAAACGAAAAGAAGTAAGAACAAGCTAACTTTTCACCGCGTAATTCACCGGTGTGATTTGAACTGTATTTTAAATTCTTATACTAATTTTAAATCGCACTACGGATTCCGAAGTGGAAAGTGAGTTTGTTTACTAACAGAATAACACTGCAGAAATCATTGTGTTGATTTTAATTTAATAACGAACGCCTGCGTTTTTTCGTTAATCAAAGGACATGGATAAGACACTGCCCTTAATGTGTATAATTATTTCGCGCTAGCCCGTAACATCATAATATTTATAATTTTTATTTTTTAAGCATGTAACTGCTTGATGTTTAAATCTAAAGAAAATATAACTAGAAAAAAAATCTACGCGGCCCAGACAGCAGATGGGACTCGAACCCGCACCCTTTGCTATCCGGGCGAATGCACTGACCAATTATGCTACCGCGGCCCTGATGACCGCGTCGAAATTCTTCTAGCCATTCCTAAGCTGCAAGGCTGTTTCTTCTTTCAAATGTTTAATACTTGTAAAAGTATTCATTTCACGCTGCCTTGCAGCTTAAGAATGGCTGGAAGAATTTCGACGCGGTCATCAGGGCCGCGGTAGCATCATAATATTTGATTATTAATTATAACGTGTTGTACATATATTGTCATACGACTGTCGTGTAATAAATAATCAAATATTTAAAAGTATAAAAATTTAGTTTGTCTGTTTCAAAAAGAAAATGCTCCGTTTTACAAAAATAAATAAACAATAAATCGACACACGAAAATATTTGTGTAATTAATTATATCGAAATAAACAATATAAATTCCTGATATATCCATGATAAATAAACTCTGATAAACTACGAGTATGACATATTAGGCCCCAATTTATTTATAACAAAATACTAAAGGCTTAAAATAATCGATTTTATTTTTCTGCTCATACTTGAGACAAGGCTGTATGATAATTAATCCTTTGACTTTGATAAATAAACAATATAAAATTTTACAGGTACCTGTCAGGTCAACGACAACAAATTATTTGTATTTATTTTTGCTTTAAAAATACTTTTTGTGAAGTGTTAATCAGAGAAATGGAGGGAAAATTTTTAAGAAAATGAATATGTTGATGGTTCTCCAAATAACTGGCAACATCTCTTATCAAATGTAGCTGGGTAATAGCGTAAAATTAGGAGTTTTCATAATTTTCAAGATTGTAACTTTATCAAAAGTTCATAAACTTTTTTTCACAGAATTTAAAAATATATTCATCCATTCCGCATTAAATATTACTAAGACAAGTATTATATTTATACATTGCTAGGGCAGGCTCTCATACAAATTTTTACCATGTCCTTTATTGCTATTAATACTAAAATTTCATTTCGTTTGGAGCTTGTAATATTTCGCAAAATATCAAAACATTTTTGTAGAAATGCATAATATCAAAACGCGCGTGACGCGAGCGAATAAACGAGGTGTTTATTTACCGAATCATGTATACGTCCCTTACAAATATTGAATGTGATAATAAATAGACTAAGAACCTATCTGTAAACTTCTAATTTATTGAAATGTCTAATACCTATCTAAGCGTTGAGAAAATAAAAACTATTTTTATACGACGCAAAGAATCTATTGCTTTATAATGAAAACATTCTAAACTTGAGAGCAGTCAGAGTAAAGAAAATTTTCATTCCCTAAAACCATGATAAGGATACCGTCATCGTCAGGGAGGGAGGGGATCGGCGAATGTGATATTGTGTGACGAGGGATGGGAGGGGTCCTAAGTTTAGTGACGTCACATTTCAAAATCTAATACTTTTAACTTTATCAAAAAACTATAAAATATTAAAAAAAACTTATGGGTTTTGTTGGGTTGGCTAATTTTCGGAACTGATTTTGGAACAGTATCCTTAGCACGAACCATTATCGAATTCGAATAGTTGAACTCGACCTAGATATACGTCAAATGTGTACTAATTTTTGGTTCTCTTTATGTCCGCTGTGGCGCTGCTGTTCAGGTTTCCATACAACATTTGTCGTTGACATTTCGCACCCGCACACTATTAGAATTCGATATTGGTTCGTGCGAAGGGTACTGCTGTTTTAACTCAATAATTTCTAAAAATATGTGACGACACAATAGGAATCCGTGTCACATGTATATATTTATGTGCCCCCTCCCCCCCCCATAAATGTGACCAAATGTGACTAGGACGGGGGAGGAGTAAAAGAATCGCGAAATTTGTGAGACATACTTTATGGATGACCCCTCATCAGCTTTTAAATGTCCCCACTGCTGGAGCATAGGTCTTTCCCATGGATTAAATAGGAAGGAAGGTCGGGCCGTGAAGTGCGGACTGGTGGGTGCTAACCACTGCAGAAGCAGCTAAAACCAACGGCTGAACATGCTTTCCGAAGCACAGAGGAACTCGAGATAATAACTTTTTGGTCACCCATCTAATGACCGACCCTTGGGGAGGTTGCTTAACTTTCACGATCGCAGGTTGAATGCGCTTACCGCCTGCACCATCGAGCCCTCGGTATATGAATAAAGATATACTGCTGTCAAATTTACAAATAGTAAATAGGTATAGTCATGTGAAGTCCTTACATAAAAAAGCAGAAAACACCCGCATACATACATAGTATCTTAATGTCATACAAATACAGCTCAAATTTCTTAACGCTTAGGTATTTTATATCAACAGTTGTATTTTAACAGAAACAAAAATTACGGCAGCTAAAAAATGGATTAAATAGTCTTTTCATTAGTTTAAAATTATCATATATTCTTATTTAAACACTGCACTATGTAATTTTTGTTTTTGTAGATGTCTGTACCGAGCACAAACCGTCTCTGTAAATATAAGGTTTGTGATTAGTTTTTATTAGTAAAGTCTGTGTTTAGTTTCAATATGTTAATTAATTAATTATGATAGCAACATGATTTTAATGTGTACGATTTTTTAACTTTAAAACCTTTAATTATGAACTATGACTTTTATGGCAAACAAATTTAGGTTAAATATTGATTGAAGAAGATTTTCTGCTATTTAATTATAATAATGTGTCGTCGTACTCACTCACACAATGCAAAACAAAATCTACTCTCTTATGCGGTTGTTAAGAATTAAATCTAATTTATTGTAATTAAATCACATCATCTGTAGCTTGAGGAGCTCGATGGCGCAGGTGGCTAGCGCGTTCGGCTGCGATCGTTGAAGTTAAGCAACTTTCGCAGTGGTCGGTCATTGGATGGGTGACCAAAAATTTACTATCTCGAGCTCCTCCGTGCTTCGGAAGGTACGTTAAGCCGTTGGTCCCGGCTGCATTTGCAGTCGTTAGCACCCACCAATCCGCACTGGGCCCGCGTGGTGGGTCATGGCCCAATCTCCCTATTCCATCCATAGGGAAGGCCTGTGCCCCAGCAGCGGGGACATTAATAGGCTGATGATGATCTGTAGCTAGTGAATGTTACATCAATATGCAAAGTATAAAACGTCATACAAAAAAAAACCCTTACTTTCACTCTAGGGTTCAAAAGTACAGTCGCGATATAAAAAGAATCGTCACCTTACACGCCGTACGTTAGGCGTTACACGTGAGGCGGATAACATGATATTCCCTATTATGTCACCATTAGTACTAGAACGAAAAACAGTGCTGTTAACTTTCAAATAAATGTGACGCGATCACTTAATTTTTATAAATATTAGCACATGACAAACTGTTAACCTTGTTTCCAAACAATTTGAACTTTGTTATCGAACAAGTAAGCATAACTTTCTATACAACTGTCTGTTTCAACTATCTGTAAATTAATCAGAGAGGGATTTCTGGAATGACGCGCGTCAGGTGGCAGCACTGAGGCGAAAGGTCTACTCATCCGTCAAATCGCATATGTCGTTATACCATAGAGGTATAAGAATAGAGTGGTGAAGGCGGCTCTAAAAGTGTCCGTCAAGAAGAAAGAGAAAGAAGATGAGAGACCGCTATCTCTCTCTTTCTCTCTCTTGTGACGCATGCGCAGTCGCCTGTCCAATAGTTAGTCCAAGCATCACATCGAAATAGTAAGATGCTTACGGTTGACAATGCGCATGCGCGATTAGAGAGAGAAATCTAGCGGTCTCCCATCTTGTTTCTCTTTCCATTAGAGGGACACTTCCACTTGTAGTAGAGTCTATATCTCCCCTACTCTATTCTTATACCTCTATGCGTTATACACTATGGATTTATTTGAATGCTTGTTCGATTAATTCGCGACACTAATTTCATACAAAAGTCATCACGTCACAGTGGCGCCAACAAGTGCCGTGAATTTTACTAAACACCCTCGTTTGAAAACTGACGGCATTTTTTATTTCGCGACAGTACATGGTTAATTATATTTTCAAAACCAGTTATAGCAATGTTTTATGAATAGCGACCTCCTGTTTTATACTTATTTTGTTATTTATTGTTTTATAGCAGCAAATAGCAAAACACATTGTTTAAAACATACAAAACATTGCATTAAACTGCTAGATGTTTAAATCTAAAGATTTTTTTCACTAGAAAATAAGTTCTTTATGTCATTATTATTCAAAATTACGATAAAATAAACAAGTACTTCTAGTACATTATGATTATTAATTGTCAAGTGCCTAACTGTGTGATACAAGTTTATTTCCAAAGCAGAATTGCCAGTACTTTATCATAAATTCAATAAATCTTATAAAATCATTGCAACCTTGTGTGTTTCATTTACCTTGTCACATAACATACATACAATCCGCCCGGATAGCTGAGGGTGTGTGGAATTATTTAAACATCTGTCAACATCACATGTTCAGATCAGACACAGATCAAAGTTGGATGCTGTCTGATGATGCTGTTTGATGCTACAAAGCCTGCCGCCATCCTGCACTTGGATTTAGCGAGACGCCTCAAAATGGTTTACCGGGTAGGAGTACGGAGATTGAAGGACTTACAGTTGTAACTAGTCGACACATATGCAGTCATTCGTCTCACTTCGTTGTGATTGTGTGATTGATTTATTATTTTTGCTCTGGGCACATAACCAGCTCAAGTTAGCTATTAAGTTAGTTAAGTTATTACGGTTAGCACGTTGGGGGAGACGGACACATCGACACATCCCTATACCGAGAATCCGAACTACTCGTTGCCTAGCTTATATTTATGGGCCAGATAAGTGGCTTTTGTGAGCAAAAATACACACACAGTTATGTGGTCATATAGTTTTTAGGTCTGTCAAGACATGAAGAGAATATTCGCATACCGGCCCTCTTCTACACACTGTAATTGAGGAAACAGATTATTAAAAATATTTGTTATGAAATAAATGTTTCATAATTAATTCCCTTGTTTCATTAATGTTCGTTCGTTATAATACTTTTACCTATTTAAAATAAATAAAGACCCCCGGGATGGATTTCGATGCACTTTGGTACAGATGATCATGACTATAGTACCTTTCAAACAAATATAGTTTAAGCCGTGGCGGAATGCCCTAGGGAAGATGCATATATAATATTTATGAAAATTTTATGATAAAAATGTTAAAAAAATATAAAAGAAATGCCACTGCAACGTTTTTATTTTACATAATGTTGTTTTTTAACAATTATTAGGAATTAAAAATACTTGAAACAGAACGTATTTTAAAACACCAATCAGCGATTAGTGACATCACTCCTGTTATGACAACTTCTTTGAGGTTATGGTTGTTAAAGTAAATATTATTTTATGGGAATATTAATTGCGTTTTTTTACATTTAATAAAAATGGAAGTTGCGTTTATCAAAGCAGACTCCAGCAATTTACCAAGAGTTAGTGTTGACATGGTTATAACTTTTTTTGTCCAAAGTGCAGAGTTTTTAAGTGTAGAAATGAAAGGGACTAAATTACTACGGTCGTAGTTGGTAAACTTCGTATTTTATTCAGCGGCTTCTACAAATCTTACGGCGATAATGCAACCGGCTATGTCCAAATTAAAAGAGATGGAGAATTATGTACTGTAAAAGGTCGAGTTCTCCGGAGCATAAAGTACGTAAAGAAGGTTATCGTGTTACAGTTATTTTAAATGAAACGCAAAGCTTGG